GGCGACGACGACGACGACGACGGCGACGACGACGACGACGACGGCGACGACGATGGGGACGTCGAAGGTGACGTTGGAGGTGACGTCCCGTTACCGGCACCCGACTGTCTCATGGTCGGGAGCAACGATGTTACGGGATCGAATGCCGCGACGAGGCTGACGCGCGCGAACAAGACCATAAGCAAAAAGGAGGGAATCCTCCTCCACCTCTTTCTTTACTTCCCTCTCGTCCACCTCCGTTACCCGCGAATCAACCCCCAAAACTACTACCAGCCTCCCTTCCCACACTTGTGCGCAAACTCGTAACGAAAAGCACCACGCAACCCGGTGTGCGGTGGTCCCCCTCTTTAAACACCCCCTACACAGCGCGTTGTGCCTCATATAGAAAGGAAGGAGAGAAAAGTTGACCCTACTACTACTACAACTACTGCTACTACTACTGCTACTACTATTACTACTACTACTACTACTACTGCTAGCTAGCTAGCTAGCTAAAGCTTCCAATATTCAGCAAGAAGACTACCCCATAGCTAAATCCCCTCGCAAGCCCCTCTAACTCCCTCCGTTATTCTACCATGTAACAATGCATCCTGTTCAACGCAATCCTCTCCCCTTCTTTCTTCCTTCCTTCCTTCCTTTCTTTTTTTATTTTATTCTTTTCTTTTATTCTTCCTATCCAATCGTACACTATCTGAAAACGCCGCCGTGGACCCCAGAAGAACTCACTCGGGCTTTTGGACTACTACTATGCCGCACTTGGACCCGCAGAAATGTATTATTAACCTGTCGCCCTGTTTCAGCCCTGACCTCCTCTCCCAACCTTTTACAAGCTACTACCTTACCAACCAACCAACCAACCAACCCTACCTACCTACCTACCAACCTTTTTTTATACTTCTCATTTTTTTCCCCTTTTATTTTTTTGCTTTTTTCCTTTCGATACGAGGCTCAGAATTTTTCTTATATATTCTTCGAAAAAAGAAGATCTTCCGTTTCACAGTTGCAAGAATCTTTCAAATAGTCTCAAAGGTGCGTGTTATACCTTACTCGTTCTAGCTCATTCCAACACCACCAACACCACCACCACCACCACCACCGACCACGACGAGTATAGGGTCAAGTACTTCACTCGAGAACCTTTCTCTTTCTTTCTCTCTTTCTCTTTAATACACCCACACCTACTCACGTTTTCTTTCTATCTTGTATCGTTTCTTTTTTTTTCTTTTTGTTCTTTTCTCTTCTCCTTAATTCCCTCCCTTCTTCTTTTCTTCTCGTTCGCTACGATGCACACGAGTGCACACGGGCCAGGATATCGTGCCAATCTCGTTCGCACCTTCATTACGTTCACAACAGTCGGTGCAATTTCTTTTCTTTTCTTCTTCTTCTTCTGCTTCTTGTTTTTTTTTTTTTTTCTTTTTTTGCTTTGCTTTATACTTGCTACTAAACTTGCTTGAAGAGAGATGCCTCTTTATTTTCTCTCTTTCTCTCATTCTTGTTTTTCCCTCTTGCCGCATTTTATTTAATTAAACACTAACCAACCACCCTCACCCCAAACCTCATGTCCCCTTTCACTCGTCTACTCGTTTATATTTTAAACTTTGTTTTAAACCACGAATATTGAAGTCATTTATTTAAAGTAATCGTGATAAGTGACAACCGTGATATCAAAACGCGCGTTTAGATTTTTATCTTTTTTATTATAGTACGTGTATGATATATAATTACGTGTAAGTATAAGAGCTTTTTTTATTTCATTCGATTAGTATCTCGTTGTTGTACGATGTTTTAATATATTGTACAATATGACATCATGATATGGAATTTAGTTTTATTTTTTTTTTTTTTTTTTTTTTTTTTTATGTAAAAGTTTAAATTGATTCACATTTCAAGTAAAATAACATCCAGCAATCTAATAATTAGAATTATTTTAAGTTATAACGTTTATAAACATATCGAGATAGAAATGCAAATAGAAATTATTCGTATAGACATTTGGTTAATTATAAAATATCAACAAGTGTTATTCGTAAAGTTAAAATGTTTAATCTCAGTTCTATTTTAAATATTACAATTTAAAATAATGTTAATTAAAAATAATTGGAAATATAATAATTATTATTATTTTAAATTATAACGTTTATAAACATATCTAGATAAAAGTAGAACTATAGAAATTATTCGTATTAATTTGATTAATTGTAAAATATCAACAAGTGTTATTCAAGTTAAGAAATGATCCTTTTCTATTTAAAATAATATAATTTAAAATAATGTTAATTAAAAATAATTAGAAATATAATAATTATAGAATTATTTTAAATTATAACGATTATTAACATATCTAGATAAAAATAGAACTAGAAATTATTTGTATTAATTTGATTAATTGTAAAATATCAACAAGTGTTATTCAAGTTAAAAAATAATCCTTTTTTTATTTAAAATAATATTATTTAAAATGATGTTAATTTAAAATAATGTTAATTAAAAATGATTACAAATAAGGCGTTAAACTTATGGAAAATATGCATAACACATACAAGTACATGTAGCACAAGGACAAATTTAATAATTAAAATGCAAGACACCTCTCCTAAATACTGGAAACAAGGAAACTAAGTAATTTATTTAGAAACACGAGCAAATTCATTAAGAACAACAACGGCAAAGCATTAATATCAATTTTCACGTTAATATAAGGTAGACATAATTGTTGAAATTTGTCTAACAGTTTTCGTTACACCATCATCTCGCACTGTCACGAAAAGGTGTCTAATTTAAATGACATAAATTATTATACATTAACATTAATATATTTTCTTAACGTACAATAATTACATTATTATTATTTTTATTATAATGTAATGAAATTAGTTAAAAAAAAAAAAAAAAAAACAACAACAATTCTTTTGATCGTCATATTTAAAAGAATAATTGTATTTTTGCGTGTATACGCGTGTAAATAAAAAACGGGAAAAAGAAATATATATGAAAGTTTAACAAATTCAAATACGTACTTCTAATAAAATTTCTCATAATTAAACCTAAAAGGAATTAAAATTTAATCTTAAAGGAATCATAAGTCGTATTTACTCGGAAATTCTAATAAAAGATTACGAATGAAATCATAAAGACTTGAAATCAGTTATGGAAAACTATCGAGTAAAATTAACAAGTCTACCTTAGTCTTTGCCTATCCAAAGGATGATTAGTCTAACGTTCATTAAACTTAAAACTCAATTAACTAAGTTATCTCAATTACAAGGTGGTTGTACTTTCGGCTCGAACGAATTATCGAGTTGAATTTCAGTTTAATTAGAATTTTGATGTCTGTTGATGCGTTTAAATATCGTCAAAGTAAGAATTACCCTCGAGTGTATAAAATAAAACAAATGGTAATTACATTTGACACTCATAAATTATTGATTAAGAAATTATATCATTTTAAATCTTTCCATAATATTAATCCAATATTAATAATTCCAAATATTAATCCAATAGTAAATCCTTTTCAAAAAGGTTTCGTTAAGAGTAACTTGAAAGATGACTAAATTCTTACCTTAGAGAAATCCTCAATCCTTTCTTCCTTTCATTCGTTAGGTATCTTCCCATTGAATTCGAATATATGTTTATTAAAATTCTTTTATATAACACTGTTCACTATTAACTTTTTTCTATTCGATAATTCAATCGTTATAAAATTCATACTATTTTATATTTGTTTGTTATTTTTATTATTATTATTATTATTAATTCTTTGAAAAACTCGAGACGGTTTTTCGCATATTTGATGAATATCCTTATAACTATCCTTGAAATCATTTTTATTGTCGTATTTCTTGTAAATACGTGAATTAATTGAGTGATGGAAGAATCAAAGAAAAAGGATTGAATTGAACCTTGAACTTTATATATATATATATTTGTTATTGATATTATTTTCAAATTGAATTGACTTCAAACGTTGTACAAATTGATACGAATTCGAGTGGACTCGTTGAAGTTTGTCTTTCAAGTTTTCAATAGATAAAAAATAAAGAGAAAAAAAAAGAAATGATGAAAGAAAAGAAAAAAAAAACTTTTTCACTGCGGTCTGCTTTAATTTAATTGAGTGCAATATTATTCTTCACATTGACAAACAAAATACCTTGATCATTTTTTCTTCGAATATTTTTATCGGATAAATTTTACTTTTACAAATTGAATAAGAGATTGTATATTTCAAACTAACATTATATTACGAAATATTCATTTTATTTATTTATCGAGTAATTATTAAATCGATATTAAACTCCCGGAATAAAACTTTGAGCTTCTCAACTCGAATACAAAAATAGCTGGCTTCGTGTTTATCGGGTCAGTATTTGTGGACATTTGTAATCGATATTTTTAATCGATAATTAAAAAAAAAAAAAAAAAAAATTAATATACTTTGTGTGGTATATGTTTATGCATTACACCGTTTATTATATGCAAAAGAAAAAAAAAAAAACTATCTCGAAATAATAATTTCTTTTATATCCAAACTACAAACGATAATGTAAAAAAATACAAGAGAGATTAGATTTGAATTCATTTAGAATAATAAAAATATCGATTTATTAAATAAATAGTAAATAAGATAAAAGAAAATAATTGCACGTAGAGAACACATGTTACTGACAAAATAATTCGTCAAGATATGAAAATGCAAACAGTGTAAGAAGATATCGTGAGATTTAAGTAGAAAATGCCTAAAACAGAATAGAAACACATCGGAATATCTGAGATACTAATCTCCTGAACAATAGCTTACAAATGCGAAGGCTCAAGAGATATCACGTATTAAAACGTTCCCTATCGTGTTTCAAAAACGCATCTAAGGATTGAACGCATTTACATATTTGAAGATAGAAGGAGGAATATATGTAAGAGGAACGAAAGAGTTGATCCCAT